TATAATAATAATATAGTAATAATAAATATTGCAAAGAAATTTCAAAGACATTCTTCCAAGTGATTGTATTATGAAGGATTGTTATGAGAAAAGGTTACACTGAATGTATGAAAAAACCCTAACTTCTCTGTCTTTAGTCTCTATTTACTGTTAGTCTAAAAGGTGAGAAAGTACCTGGAGATCTACAATAGCATGTATTTCTTTAGTCACATTTAGTCTTCACTTTCAAAAAACCTGGCAGCTGAGGGAAAATAATGCCTTTCCACATATAAGCACTGCAAGTATAATCAAATAATCATTATTATTATTATTAGAGTTCAAACACAAACTTACCTAAAAATGGATCATCATATTCTGTATTAGACAGCTTAAGCAAGTTGTTTTCCAAAGTCTCCATCACTTTAGCTGAAATAAATGCAATATTCATATAAGCAATCACATGTATTTTTTAAGTAAAAAGTTTTAAACTTTTTAAAGCTGTCAATGACTCTTTCCATATCACTCTTCCCTGGTTCTGCTTATGAGTGAATGCATCTGCTCCTACATGTTCATACTTAAACACATTTCTTGCCAAAAGCCTAGTATTTATCTTTTCTCTCTCTCCTGAACAGACTACAGAAACCCTTATGCTCTTCCCCAACACACAGGAGCACATTCTTGTCTTGTTTTCAGTGAGAAGGGAAAAAAGGAAAAAAAAATAGTTTAAGCCTCGCTTCAAACATTATAGATTCACTCAAGAACTAAGTACCATGGTTCTTCTAGCTGTCTAGATGCCATAAAGGTCTCTCCAACAATCTGTAGATATCTAGACAAATCAAAGCTTATCAGATGCCTCTATATGCTGAAAGATTATATTTAAGACACCACAGGACATCCAGTCATGTTCCTGTCGATCCCCTCCATTGCCAGGGTTGGAACAGGCTCCTGAAAGAGAAAAACATCCTACCTCGTTCTGACTCCACATCCACTGCAGCTGTAGATGTCCCTGCACTAAGAGGCTGAGGTCGGGGCTGTGGCTGCACACGATTTGGCTGCAGAAAAGACGAATGCTTGCTCAGACTCTGAGGATGTGTTTGGCTCTGGGCTAGGCATGGCATAGATCTTCGAGAGGGTTTTAATGGATGGTCTTTCACTGTCTCACTCTTGCTTGTATTCATACCTGAAAAAGCCGAAAGAAAAAGAACCTAAGCTCTGCCACATTAGGCAAATGGCAAATAAAGATGGCTAATTCTGAAAACTCAGGGTGATGCATCCACTTAATAAGCAACTCTCCAACTAAACAAAAACATTTGAAGCATTTAAAGTTCAAAGGGGAATACAGAGTTAGAATGTAATCCAGGAATTCTTCACCTACCTTTCCCTCAACATCCCACAACTGGAATTCACAATGCTCTAAACTGTGGTATGTATGTCATACAGTCATTCAGAAGCAAACGAAAGCACTGTCATCCACATTTTCCTGAACAAAATCTTAATTCAGTAGTAGAAATGAATAAAACCCCTCAAACAAGCCAATCAAATACAAGCAAAAAACTGTTCACAAGCTTCCTGAAGGACTCGTGAACACCCTCTCCTTTGAGAGGCAGCTGTTTGCGAGTTCTGATGAATCTATCCGTCATTTCTAGTTTTCCCCCTGAGACCCATGGCAGTCTGGGGTTTTCGTTGCCTGGCTGTAGGTTCAGGTACCTAGATACTGACAACAGTTAACTGTGTGATATCAGTTCTTCCCTTTGTAGCCGCAGCACTATGAAAGTGTTCTCATTAATATTACTTTAATTACCTTAAGCTACAAAAATGTAGGCCAGAAACAATTTAATGGCACTCAAATACACACACTCACTTAACACTAGGTATTTCATAAAGGAACAGGAATATGAGACCCCCCATGTAAACCTGCAGAAAGCCCTGAATATTGAAAACATTATTGAACATTGAAAACATTATTGAATATTGAAAACATTATTGTAACATGAACACGTGATTCAAACAAGTAGATTTTGTTTTGTTACCATTCTACTATCCATCACTACTGGATCAAAGGCTAACGGGAGGTAACCTAGTACTCATTTTTCCCTATGTGAGTCAAGGTGACTCGTTGGAAATCATCATATTTATTGCTTTGCATAAAAACTATTACACTGTGTATACCCACTGTTCTCACATGGGCCTTCTAATGGGAAAATATAGCAAAGCCATCAGCTACACAGGTCTTCAGTACCCAATTCCAACCAACAAATATTAACACATCTAAGCTTGACTGTAAATAACATCACGTTTTAATAAGATTAAATCAGTATCAAAAGCCAGATATTTCTGGGAAAAAAGGATCGGTTTACTCCTCTGTTCAGCTCTTGCTGACCTTCAGACTCTGCTGTTTCCTATTACTGCACTAACACACATTAGAACTTATGCTACTTGCGGAAGAACCTCGGCTACTCACTACTACGAGGCTGCTGAGGTGCTGGCACAGGGTGCCCAGAGAAGCTGTGGCTGCCCCATCCCTGGCAGTGTTCAAGGTCAGGTTGGACGGGGCTTGGAGCAGCCTGCTCTAGTGGAAGGTGTCCCTGCCCGTGGCAGGGGATTGGAACTGGATGAGCTTTAAGGTCCCTTCAAACCCAAACCACTCTATAATTGTCTATTAACATACTGAAAGGGAATTAGAAGCCATAAAACTGGTAATATGAATTTTATTTTTTTTTCACTGAAACAAAAAACAAACTGTGAAAAATTACTTAGTAGGTATAATACCGAATTTATTTTATAGCATTCTTGCTAAAATATAGTATGAGATTTTTAAACCTTTAAATCAGCTGACATTGTGCTACAGTGGTTAACAACAATTCAGTTTTCAAAGTAGTATGTACTGTTCCAGGACATTTTGTTTTTATGACTGGCTGTCTCTGTTCTGAGTTTGATAATTATTTCCAGTAAAAAACATGTAACTACCCTTTCAAGATGATAATTTTATCAGTATTCATCCCATTTAAATCCCATTTTATATTTCTTCCCCAAATCTCAGGAATTTAAATTACAACTGTAATTTAAACCTGTCAGTGTTTGCAAAAACAGGGCCACAGCTATCATTATCCATAAACATGCTCACTATTGAACTTCAGTAATTACAATTAGATATATTTCTAAACATTTGCACTTGACAGATAATAAATATTTAATAATTATTATAGAATTAGAATATTAATTTGCAACTATGACTGCAGTAAATATGCCTCATACTGTATTCTGATATTTAGCAAAAAGGATGGCTTACAGGCACTATTAGAACTTAAATCTGCTCCTGAGAGGTTCCTGTACACTATAAAATATTTACACTTTCCTTTCAAAGCTACAAAATTCACTGCCCCTTCACTATTAGACAAATATCTTAAACCTTTTACCTATTGGATAACCTTTGTGGAAAAATAAAACAACCAATAACAACAAACCAAAAATCATTGTAGAAGCTTATGTCCAAAAAACCCCAATTTTCTAAGTCAGTTCAGTCACAGTGTAAAGCAGGGAACAAGCAGCCAAACTGCAGGTAGAGCAGGAAGAATTTATGAAGGATGTGGACCCACTTGAGTGAGCCCAGAGAAGGCCACGAAGATGCTCCAAAGGCTGGAGCAGCTCTGCTCTGGAGACAGGCTGAGAGCGCTGGTCTTGTTCAGCCTGGAGAAGAGAAGGCTCCACGCAGACCTTATAACAGTCTTTCAATACCTAAAGTGGGCCTACAGGAAATCTCAAGAGGGACTTTTTACAAAGGCAGGTAGTGACAGGACAAGGGGGAATGGCTTTAAACTGACGGAGAGAAGATTTAGACATGAGGAAGTTCTTCCCTGTGAGGGTGCTGAGGCGCTGGCACAGGGTGCCCAGAGGAGCTGTGGCTGCCCCATCCCTGGCAGTGTCCAAGGCCAGGTTGGACACAGGGGCTTGGAGCAACGTGGTCTAGCGGAAGGTGTCCCTGCCTGTCGCAGGGGTTGGAACTAGTTGGATCACAACCCAGTCTTTGATTCTGTGGTATGAGGCAGCTGAGCAAGTCGTGCTTTGCCACTAGGCAATTTTTTGTTGCAACTTAAAAATAAAATTTAAACAAAAGCAAACCTATTTGTACGTAGTTACCGAGCTCTCATGCTGCCCTCGTTAATTCAGGAACTAGCTGCATGATTTGTAGGAATTATTAATTTTTCATTAACCTTTAAATTGTTTACAAAACTAGAAACACATTTTCAAAGACAAATGCATCGCACATGGGTGGGTTGACCATGGCCATCAGCTGAGCACCATGCAGGCACTCGCCACCCCCCCCGAGGAAGATGGGGATAGAGAATGGGAAAATCAAGAGTGAGAAAAACTCAACGGCTGAAGTAAAGATAGTTTCAAGGAAAACCAAACCAAAACAGTGACGCAGTGGCAATCACTCACTACCTCCCACAAGCAGACAGTTGCCCATCCAGCCTTGGAGCATTGAGTCCCTTTCCACCCCTCAAATGTTATTGCTGACCATGATTATCCATGGCACAGAACGTGCCCTCTGGGCACCTGGGGTGAGCTCTCCTTGGCTCTGTCCTCTCCCAGCCTCTTGCCCAGCCCCAGCCGCTGCCTGTGAAGCAGAATAGGGAAAAAGAGGCCATAGTGCTGTGCAAGCACTGCTCAGCAACAACCAACTGGGGTAGTTAGCAACACTGAGCCACAGATCCAAACCACGACACCATATGGGCTGCTGTGAAGAAAACTAGGTCCACCCCAGCCAGACCCTGCAGATACATTCAGAAGTTAATGCCAGAGATTTTTGCTACTCTCTTGTTGAAGTGCCTGAAGTTGTTCCACCAAGAACAACACAGTGTGACCTCTGAGGGACTGCTGCATTTCCTGCCAAAGGGAACTATATGGAAACGCACCCCAGAGGAAAAAGTACAGTCCCCGAAATATCTGGGAAGTCTTTATGAGCAAGGATAGTCACATAAACAAAGATTAGAAATATAGATTAATAATCACCTCTACCAAAAATACAAGGTGGAGGGGGAAAAAATCCACAAAATTAAAAAAAAAATAAAGATGTGTGGTTTCAAAGTGAAGGAAAACTAAATACTCCGCAGCATGTTCTTATAAATCTTAGTCCTTTAGTGATACATATTACCTCTCTGCGACTGTGCTAGAAAAAAGTGAGTAATTAAACATTTCTGCTGCTTGGAGTGACATGAACTTCCAAGGAATTTTCTTCATCAAAATCTGTGCCACTTGAAGAAGGATGTCACACTGAGCAAGACTCTCTCTCTTGTCTAAATCTCAACGTATTAGCCCACAAAGAAGATCTTTTAATGTGCAGGATACTCCCCATATTTAACTCCAATAGCTGAGCTTCAAAAAAGCCACTCATTTAAAAGCTTCCCTGAGCTCACAAAACATGCTTTGCTTCAATGTAAGTATTGCTCTATCAAGAAATTAAGAACTTCATTTGTCCACTGAAGACAGTGCTTCCAGATCTGCAGCACAGTATAACTATTCTTGGTCAAACTGGTTAATTCTGCTGCCTCAGAAGGTGCCATAGGTCTGTAAATAGGTACAAGCAGAAAGGACTATGTTTCTTACTGATTCAGAAACGGACTCTGTGACAGTGGAGCATGCAGTGACACTGGGCTTCAGCACTGATGGTGCTGTGTTCATAACAGAACATTCCACACAATGCATCTTCTAAGCTATTTGCAAGGTTTCAGAGAAGCACTCTTTGTAATGTAATTATCATTATTAAATACTATAAAGTATTTCTAAATGGACATTCTTGCAAGGTTTCAGAGAAGCATTCTTTGTAATGTAAGTATCATTATTAAATACTATAAAGTATTTCTAAATGGACATTCTTATTAGACCAAAGTCTGCAATAGTTAGACATAGCAATGGGTAATATAAAATAAGTAATATATAAAATATGTATTTCATAATTGCTCTGGATGGCTTTAATGATCTATTTCTTAAGCAGCAATACACTGTCAGTAATTATGGACCCTGCCAGATAATTATTACAACTGCCAAAATAGAATGTTTTTTGCACCTGTATTGGAGTCACTGTGTGCAGCAAGATGAATCGCTTCAGTACCAAAGAAATTCATAGAAATGCAAATAACACACACTGTCATTCAATTTCAACAACAACTTAAATGATACATAAAAAATAAAATAAATAAAATAAAAAAAATGGAATTAAAATAAAATAACTCTTTCATGAGGTAGTGCTTCAATTTAAAAGAAAATTACTCCCTGTTGCTCACTCTCACTGTATATTCCTCTGTGCCATTTCAAACAGATTCCTTAAAAGTAACCTCAGAGCACATTTGCTGTTGCTCTAGTTGTATGATCTACGTTCATAATTCAATTTTAACAAGTTACTTCATTCTCTGTCCAGTTTTGTGATATGCTAGTTTTGGTGGCATTTGCTGTTGCATGCCAATGCTTACTGAGCTCTGGCACATGAACGGCTTGTGGCTGACATCATTAACGGGGCCACTAAGCTGATTTACTGAAACTATATTCCTCTATTCTCCATAGGAGCCTCTTCTCAAATCCCTACCTCTCCAACTAGAACTTTGCTACACAGAGCTTGATTGTTCAGGGATGTTTCCATCTG